GTTATTTTTATCTGGACTGTGCCTGGTTTGTTTGTTTCCCACTTCCCTTTGAGAGCTCCACATACCTGATCTTAAATAAAAAACTCTGGGAAAGCCTGAGCCACTTCCAGTCTCTACTCTCCAATTCAAGTAATTCAAGTTGCCATCTTCCCAAGAAAAATGAAGAACTTCTGCACCCCTTATTCTACTGAAGACAAGGGTCTTCTGTGATTTTTGTCAACTGCACAACTCTGGGTTATGAAATAAAGAAAACAAAAATAATAGTTTGCAGAATTTGCCAACCAGAGTTAAATTATGATTTGGATGTAACTATACGTAGCTGAATGGGATCAAATCAAGGCAGAGAATTTAAAAAAAATGCTTAAGGCTGCAGGGATTCAGTTCATTGCCAGTCACTGTACTCCAGTCCCAAACACAACATGCCCATATTCAAATGACTAATATCATAAACTGTTCATTGTCTTGCAGCCCCTATTTTTTTTACAGGGTTGACACAATCTGATGAGTCTGCCAAACTGTATGAAAATCCCTGATGCAGGGAATTTAAGCAGCATTCCAGTGCACAGGAAGGTTATGCTGAAGCTGATAAAAGCAAAGGAAAAAAGAAAAGGCAAATATGGGGACAATGTTTTGTCCATGGAACTTTACCTAGTTGTTAAGGAAAATGTACTACAAACTTAGCAGTGTGTGCTATTTCTAGCCTGCAGTTTATGAATAGAGCTTTCTCTCCTTCTCCTAAATCTCCTTCATTTTGCAGGCTGTGTGCTAAAACATCAGCAATCTTGTTCCCTTTTCACTCTGCATGCAGACTAAGAACAGGCTGTCAGGCAAACACAAAATTCTCACAAATTATGTGAGTCACTGCTTTGGTGTAGCTGCTTGCCCCTGCTGATGGCTGGGCTGGCTTGCAGATTTGGTTGGCCTACCTTGCGTGTCCCATGCAGGCTGTGTGGGAAGGGATGCCTGCGTGCTGCTCAGTTGCTACCTCATTCAGAACGCTGGCACCAAATGGCCAAATATTCACACACAAAAGTACGTGATTATGGAAGTGCTGGATTGCGTGTGAGGGGAGTTCTGCTGGTTTGTTTCTCAGAATTTATATTTTGCCTGCCTTTGTGTAGGATTTCAAAAGCACTTTGGCTGAATACATAAGTGTTTTTGTTTGTTTTCTCATTGCATTGATTTTCTTTTCCAAGAGCTATTTTTTCTTTCAATAAATAACAACAAAGAAGATGACCAAGGCCTACAATGCAGATGATCAGCAAGGATGATATTGTCATCCTGTGTCAATTGGTTCAGAGTCTGGTGAAATAAACAGTCCCTTGGGAACGTCAGTGCTTCATCAAGACCAATTAGTGGATCTGCGGCTGCTGCTTATGTTCAAGCATTAACGACTGGGCAGGGCTGCTTTTTGGAGTGCCTGACACTGGCATGGAACAAGGCACCGACCTAATTACTTCTCTACAAGAGCAGAAAATGCCTCATGAATGCCTGCTTGGCAAGGATGTCTCATTAAGGGGAAAAAACCCAACACAAGCACTCCTAGAAACAAAAATTAAAATTATAGGTAACCTGCGGCCATGAGACTTCCTTCATGGCTGTGGGAAATGAAGAGAAACTGCTGTAAGGTGATGTATAGTTGTATAGATGGATAAAGGCTTCTTTGTACTTCGTTTCCTAACTCCATCTATTTTTATAGTCCATAAGGAGTATGAGAGGCAGAATGCAAACTTGCATCGTTGAAGAACAGAACATATATTGTCATCTTTGCTATCAGTGTTAAATGGGACTTGAAGAGTTGGTGTCTGTTGGAAGCTGTTTTATTAGTCTATTTCTTCAGGGTTTGCAAACTGGCCTAGGAAACTAAAGGGTTTGGTAGACCTGAGTGAGGAATTGGTAATGAGGAGCTTATGATATATAGCCTCTCTTTCTGCTTAAAATGGTCAAGAAGGAAACTGTGGCTTCCCAGTTCAAGAGTCATGGCTAGATATTTTCAGTCATGATAGTTTTGTTAAAATAAAACTTGAGGTGTAACTAGAAACAGCTGCTCAGATGTTTCTTCGGTCCTAAGCACCTCTGTTCCTTCCTGACTCATAGGTGCTTCTTTTTACCTTTATTTTTCTTTGAAGAGTGAGAGCAAATATAAGAAATGCAAAATGTATTGTTTATTGGTGATTTGTGAGGTAAATGACATGCTATTACTTCTTTTCATTGACTGGATGAGCGCACACTCTTAAATACTGAGGCCCACTATTCACCTAGGGGGTTGGATGAAGCACAAATACTTACATGTCAGGCTTTGCCCAAAAGGCACATTTTCAGCAAGCTATCTCTGAAAAAGCATATATGGTAGTTCAGAAAGAGTAAAGCTTTCTAGGTGAGGAAGGATCAAGTGTTTGTGTAGATATGCATGTGTTGTGTTTTTTGAGATGCCCTTTTTGTGGTAGTCACCAATTTATCACAAATTGCTGAATTGTTTAGTTGGCTTCTGGATTGAATGATTATATGGATGCCACATGATCTTGACCTGTGTATTTCTTTATTCAAGTGCAGCCCATTACCTTACTCCTGCTTTACCTATCTTATGTCACACAATGGCAGAGAGAAATGATCAACAGTTGAATAGAAGACTACCTGCTAAGGTGTAGGTTGCCTGAAATACTTTAAGATGCTTAATGCTACTTCTTAAATGCAAGGGCCTGAGTCTCTGAGCCTGCCTCTCCAGATGGATCATTTTTCTCAAAAACCTGGGATATAGTTATTTTCTTTCTTTGAGTTCAGTGGATAGTACACTTACACATCAGGTCCTAAACTCAGCTGTTTCAATCCTCTTGCTTTCAAAGGTGAAGCACAAGGCTTTTTTTAAACTGTTATCAGTGCCTTAGCAGATAGCTGCAAATGGAGGTTTACAGGGATGGGGGCAAAAGGGGCTTTGCTTCTCCAGAGCATCCTTGTTTCTCTTGACTGTGCTGCAGCTGCATATCCTCTACTTCCAGTGGCATGATCACCACATACTTGGCCTGGTGAGATTTGTGGGACTCAGGCCATCTTTCTGTAGTTCTCTTCCTTGCTGATCTCTGAGTGAGAATGGTGACATGGTTGTGTTACCATATGCCCTATTGGAAAGAGCCAAAATAATGCTCCTAATTGTGCGCCAACACGCTGTGAGACATTCTCATATAGTTATGAAGTCTGGAAGCATTAATGGCTTACAAACTTTTCTTTTATTAGACTCTCTGTTGTTATTCTGATGAAATAGTGCAGAACCTTGAATAACTGCAGTTTTGTTCAAGATAGTCAGGTTTCTGAGGGAGAAATGTAGGATCCAGTATCAGCAATCTATTTGCCTTTGGATCTGTGTCCAGCAGCAACTGCATGAGTGCAGTATTCAGCTGTTCACTCAGCTTCTTACTGCATCTGACTCCTATATTGCATCTGATACTATAATGCGATGTAAAATAGAAGTGCGCCAAAAATCAGTTATTTATTCAGTTTTTACACAGATTTCATGTAGTGTTAACATCTGTAGACTTTAATTGCAGTGTAGCTTCAGAAAGCAATACATAAAATGTTAAAGACTTTGGCCCTGTGTGTTTCCTTCAAAGCAACAATTCTGAATGTAATCAAATAGGGGACAGAGAAAGAAAGAGTCAGGAAAATACAAAAGGATAATTGCACTGTGTTAAAGGCAGAGACATAGGAATTTCTGAGGCAGGGCTCATTCAAAATTAATTGCATTATGCAATAATGTTTTGTGGTTCTATAGTAGTTATCAGCTAATGATCTTGGAGACCTCTGCAGGCACCACCTTATTCTGCCATTCCCTCCTGTGAGTTGCTTTTATTCTGTCTTTTGTTCTATAGACATGCAAAAAGAAATGGTCAGGGAAAATTACCTTGCCACCACTGTTCAGATCTAATTCAGACTGTTGGCTCTGAGTTAGATCTGAAGTTAGAGCTGAGAACAGTTGATTTTCACCTCATCCTTCTTCAGCCATGATACAAACTTTCCCCTTTTCCTGCTGTTATTTTTTTTCCCCCCAATCATCTTGTAAAGAAACATTGCAGTAGAAGGAAATATGTCACTCAACCACTGATGAAATTACTGCAAAGGGGTTAGAAGAAATTTTAGAGAGCACAATCTTAAATAATTCATTGTCAAGGCAATGTATATATTAAGTGGGCATTTGCAGAGATCTTGTGTGTTTGGTACTCTTGAGTATTTTGATTCTTGGGCTGCAGGATGGAAGAGAATACACTAAGCTGCAAATCTCAAAAGTGAGAGGCACTGTGTGTGTTGTGAATTTCAGGAATATTACACCGAATGATTTTTGGGAGTTGGAAAAATGGCTTGACCTGTAGGTTGTGAGCTGAAAAGGGACCTAGATTTATAACACCTTATTAGCTAATCTCTAATAACAGGCTACTGTTTTTCCAAAACAGTCATGGTATCTCATAAAAAGCAAATATCTAGAATATATAAACAGGTGTAGTCTGTGAGCTACTTCATTATACAAATTGCAGTTGTTTGATTATACTGAAAATTAGTGAAAACACTGTTGAAGTTTTGAATAGTGAGCTTCAAGGATGATGTGAACCAAGTGGAGAGAACTCATGAAAAATGCCAGTGGAAAAAACCCTATGTATCACAGAGGAAAGTTAGAAGAAATTTAACATAGTCTGTCTGGAAGCAAATACAAGTCTCCAAATACATAATGATGGGACAGGACCACTTATGTAGTGGGCAGAACACTCTTATCAAATTTTCTAACATTAATGAAATAGAATACTTGTCAGAAATGCCACATGTTCCTGAACTGTGAGTGCAGGTGGACAAGATGACTGTTTTGAAGCTGCTGCTTTTGATGATTTGTTCTGCCTGCCCCCATGTGACTCGCTAACTGTACTCGGAACAGGTGACTGTTTGAAGAGAGTACTCATAAGGATACTGCACAAACAAGTCACACTAACTTGCTATGTTTTAATTTGTTCTGCCATCAGGTCAAACTGGGAGGAGAAGCCCCAAACTCCAGTGTAATCCACATAGCCAAGGGGAGTGATGGCAGTAGTGGCAGCTGGAAGAATGTTGGTGGAAAGTGTGGAACCAAATGCCACCTTCTGGATTTTGCCAACTCAGAGCGGCCACTGGTGGTCAACTTTGGCTCAGCTACCTGACCACCGTTCACAAGCCAGCTGTCAGCCTTCAGCAAGCTGGTGGAGGAGTTCTCTGGTGTGGCTGACTTTCTGTTGGTCTACATCGATGAAGCTCACCCATCAGATGGCTGGGCTGCGCCTGGAATCTCTCCCTCTTCATTCGAAGTTAAGAAACACAAAAGCCAGGAAGAAAGATGTGCAGCTGCTCACCAGCTCCTAGAGCACTTTTCCTTGCCGCCTCAGTGCCAAGTGGTGGCTGACTGCATGGACAACAATGCAAATGTGGCCTACGGGGTTTCATTTGAGCGAGTATGCATTGTGCAGAGACAAAAAATTGCCTACCTGGGGGGAAAAGGCCCCTTTTTCTACAACCTTCAAGAGGTCCGGCTTTGGCTGGAACAAAACTTCAGCAAAAGATGAAATCCTTTCTCCACAGGAGTTACGTCAATCGATGTGTCCCTTTAAGGTGATGCAAAAGGGAAAAAAAAAGGAAAGCATATGCTAGTTTTAAAAGAATCTTTCAGATGATTGCAGGAGAACACATTTGGTAACAGTGTCAAGTGAGTGTTAACTAGTAAAAGAAAATAAAACAAAAATCTAGCTCCACAGAAACATTGTCAAGTGAAAAAAAAAAATTGCACTCCTGCTCTTGCTATGGGACAGAAGAGATAAACAGACTTCTCCAAAAAGGTGCTGCTGGCAAGCAGGTAGGGTGGTTAGATAAGACCTGAAGACCCAGACTGGGGTTTCCCAGAAGCCCCAGTCCTGGGGTGAGGCACAGAAAGCGTTTCTGCTTGGAAGGCATTCCATGGAAAGGCAATGCTGTACATTTAATCAGAAATGCTTCTTTACCCCCTGTGGCCAATTCAAGAAACTTGAGAGGAGCAGGGGTTTTGCAATTGCTTTGCATACAAATGCAGTGCAGTGTGGTGATTTTCCTCTCTTGGTAGAAAATTTATTGTTCAGAGACTTCAGGAACCACATGCAGAATGGCACAGGCAGACTGGGTGCTCAGAGCAAGATGAATCTTTGTCTGCAGGTGTTTGTATTCTCTGTAGACACATCTGCACAGCATATTAACTGTGTAATGCTACCTTACATGTTTGTATCCAGTGTGCAGGCCTGTGCCTGCTGAGAAAGGTGTTAAAATCTATTGAGTTGGACCAAAAAGATAAAGGTGATCAAATAAGCCCATTACCATTTGAAAACTGAAATATCTGGAGTAATTATAACACAACATTGAGAACCATCTAGAGCATGCACCGTGAGACAAAACTCAGCTGATGCTAACCAAACCTTGGTTCTGAGAGCTGACAACACACGTTTATCAATGTTCTCTGGTTCTCATCTCTGTTTCTTTACCCACCTCCATCTCTTTCTGTCTATCAATAGGATTAAAGGTAATTTCACTTTTAGCTTTAAGAAAATAACTTATTTCTCTCTCTCTTTTTTTTTTTTTTTTTTTTTTTTTTAAGTGTGACCTTGAAGGTATATTTTGGGGACAGGAGAACTTATGCACAATTTTACCTCATTGAAATGGAAACCTATTCTGTCATTTACCCTGTTAAATGTAGTCATGCTGACTTTTACTGTCTTAGATATCTGAACCTTGTTTATATCTATGTTAATTGGAAAGTTAAGTTGTTTTCAGTCTTAGAATTGATTAGCTACAGTTCTGCTACTGGATGAGCTGATAGTCTGTTTTGCTCATATTCTTGAAAACCTTCCCAGAAGAGAAACAGGGAGGACAAATAGTTTGAATTAATGTGAGTAAGTATAAAAGATGGCAAAATTTTTATATGAATGATGATGAGGAATGGATTGTTATGTTGAAAGAGATACTGTGAACTTAGAGTACACATTAAGTTTCTAAAATTAGAATTATTTAATCAAGCCTGAGGAAGAGGCAGATTTACAATGAGCTAACCTATTAGAGCTGATAAATGAAAACCCATATGGAGATGGACTATCCAAGTTTTCTCTCATCTTTGGCAGAAATATGAAACAGATAACCAGAATAAGTGGCAAAAATCAAATTAGTTCATAATTTCTCATCCTGCCCATCATCAGGAATATGATGTGTTGAGGCTGACATAGAAAATATTAGAAAATACACAAGTCTTTTAATTTTCATAATGCCCACTAATATTGTGTATTTCCTTAAGCTTGGCTCTTGGTCAACTTAGCCAATGTAGGAGGAATTTGGAAATGTGTTTTCAAGCACAGATCTGAAATAATGACACTAACATGGGTAATTTCTCCCGTACCAGGTTCATGCTTCCCATTCTTCTCACATTTTCCTCCACACACTGTTAAACATAGACACACATGCACTTACACAGTTGGTAATGTGCATTGGAGAAGGGTGTAAAGAGTAGTTGTCAGATGTCCCAGTGAGCCCCACTTCTCAGAAGACCTGTGTCTCTCTGTGTGTGCATTTATATATGCATTCATACGTATATAATACATTTTTATGTATGTGTATATATATGTGTGCACATATAAATGGTGTCTAAGACCACTAAAAATCATTATCCTGTCCTACCATTCATTAATGTTACTGTAAATTGTTGCTCAATGCAGAAGACTTACAGATCTTCATGACTAACTGGGATATATAACTGAATTTTTAAAACCTGTAATCATAGAAACAGTAACAAAGCCAAACTACATGGTTATTTAATCCAGTGTCCTACCTCTGACTGTATCAGATGCTTCAGGGGAAGGTGCAATAATTTTAATTTAGAGAATTTTTACTAGCTTCAGCCCATATTGTTTTTGCCTCATCTGAAGTGATTGTTGATGTCTCATTATCCCGCATGAGAGGCTGATTCTGGGTATTGAGATTAAAATATTTTGTGAGGTGGGGATTACTAAAATAAAAAAAGTCCCTCTTAATTTTAAAGAAAACCAAATGAAAACAGATTTTTTTCTTTCATATTTAAATAGACTGCTTTTCAACATCATTCTCATCTCTTGCTGTTATATGCTAAACCACTAAACATAAGCGATCCCAATTTTTCTTCTGTATGTCAGTCACTATATAATCTATATAGAAATTTGCATACCATTTGTTTGTTTAAGACAAACAATAACTCCTATTCTTATACAGATTCATACTCTTTCCTTGTCTCTGAATCACTTCTGTTTTTGCTACGCCGTCTTTTTACTCAGATGAGTAAAGATGTAGACATTAATCCAAGTGAAAATCTGTATTAATATACCCAGCACAGAATCTTTTCTTTATTATATCCTGTTCTTCAGTCATCTGAAACTTTTTTAATCCATAGCAACTCCACAGCCTTTGTAAAACTTAAACTAGTAAGTCTTTTCTTCTTTTCATCATTATACTGTAGAATTCTAAACTGTTTATATGGGAAATGCTAGCCAAATGTTTAACACAGCTGTTGAAACATACCTTTAGTTCAGAGGAAATAGTCAGAATTAGTAATTCAGTTTGTTAATACCCATTTGCATATCTAAAGTTACAATTATTTTTCAAGTCCATTCTCTGCTTTTGAATTTCCATTATTTTGTTTTGTCCTTCATAGATGCCTCTTCATCACGTAGTATACAGGAATTATAAAATTGGCTCCTGTAAATGGGAAAAACAAATTGATTTTCCACAAATAAAAATGCGCAATAACTTCATTTCTTTCTTGGCAACATGTATAACTGTCCTGCCTAAAATTTAAAGATATTCCAGCCTCACTGATTATCAAGACAGAAATACATTTTGCAAAATCTTGGGTTTCCCCAGAAAACTCCCCAGCAGGGCTTTCTTCAAAGTAAAATGGGCATAAAGGAAAAAAAAAAAAACCTGGAAAAGTATTTTCTAGGAGGCTGACAGAAACATAATGTTTTATTTTGTTTGTTTGGGTTTTTTTTGTGGTTTTTTTTTTGTTTTTTTTTTTTTTTTTTTTTTTTTTTTACAAAATCGAAACATTTCATTGAAAAGGTTTTAAAAAAATATCCTCAATTGATAATAAAAGTGGCCATATGCCAGCTACCCAAAATTATTATAACAGTTGTTTTGGGCCCTGGTAGAGATTTTATTGCTTTGCTAGACTTGTCTAGTCTGCAGTGAGACTGGATTTGCTTCTATCTCATTCTCACTGTGCCAGGGCACTATACCATATTACTTGAGGTGCTCCAGTGTGACATACATGTTGAGCAACAGCTCCCAAAATAGGTGCCTGAAAGCATTCTGGAAGGCTACTGTATATAATAGAGACCCCAATACTGTGTCTCAACATTAGTATGGGAAACGTTCAGTATTTTTCATTTTGAGCAACATAAAAAGCTATTCTGGGCTATCATTCTACATTGTTCTGTGCTTAGCATCTGTATTTAGCACTGTAGAAAAGTAATGTAAAGCATTTTGTGCAAATGAGAAACTAGCATTTTGCTCTTTCCTTGTGTAGACAATGACATAAATTTAAGGCAGCAGGAAAACATGCCCCATCTATTAAAAATAATAAAATATATTTATGAAATATGTTGTTGAACAACTGTCTGAACACTTTGAAAAACAAAATGCAGTGATTTTTAGGAAGGTGATCTTGGTGGGGAAACCTACAACACTTCTTAAAAAGGTATTTGTGCTATGCATCCAGGTGTGTGCGGAGGGAAGTTATGTTTCTGCATGTGTGAAAGTGGCTTTTCTGTGATGTGGAGTATAGATTTAAGAGTTTTTAAAACTTTAATTCAGTACTATAACCAAAGCAATAAAAGGAGTCAGGTAGGGAATATTGGCCAGTTTTGTACAACTCGACACCATGTCTGTGACAAATCCATAATCAGTTGTGCCCAAATTGGAGTCTTCAGTGAAGAGGAATTGGGGTGAGACAGAGGAAGCTTGTGTGCTCATGAAGATTGCTAACAAAAGAGTGATTAACTCAGTTAGCTTTCAGATGCCTTCACGCTGGCATTCCTCTGTACACCTTAGTGTGGCTGTATTAGAAAGAGGGGTCCCTTTGGGTCTGTCAATAAGATCGCCGTGGTGTAGGTGCCTGTGTGTACTATGTGTGTGTCATTGTTTAAATGTCAAAAATACACTGCAGGAGAGCCAGCAAAATTTTGTTACAATATGGTGCTCCATGAAATGTGCTTTCTAGATTTGTTTTTCTTGTACTATAATAAATGATAATGGAAAATATACCTCTTCTGTGTTTTATTCTGATTGCTAATTCCACACAGTGGAATCTTGACATTTGACCAAGGAAACTTAGACCTATAATTAATATAAAAGCTTATGCTACCCTGACTAGATCTTGAGCAATGCAAGCAAAGTTCCTTATAAGTGGTAGAGCTAATTAATTATCTGACTACTCTCAACTTTTAAGAAAGGTAAAGGGGAGGGAAACAGAGCTACAAGACAGTTGAGTCTGCACAGAATTGCGGTGTTCAAAAAAAAAAAAAAGTACTTGAAGAAAGCATGCCAAGCTGTATACAGCACATGAAACCTAGGCAAATTGGTTATGAATGCATGACCTATAAATGCCACTGCCATTTCAATGTACAGGCAAAAGATAAAAAATTAAATTAAAACCACAGCTGAATAGCTGTGACAAGAAAAAAAAAATCAAGTTAAAAATGTGCAGCAACTTTATAAACAAATTCACTTTTTGATTTAATTGCATTTTAGAAATTCTCAATTCTTTGTAATCTTTTGTTACAGTAAGTTTTATAGGACACTGCATATAAAAACTGCTTGTGAATATAGGTAAGAAAGAACAAAACAATTCTGCAAAAGGAAGACTGTGAAAAAAGTATATATCCTAGTTGCCCAAACAGAAATGTTCATTACAGTATACTTAATAGCCCTTGAAACAATCAAATAAATAACTCTCTCTAGATTATATAGCTCACATTACAAAAATAGCCCCCAAAAGTACGTAAAGAAGAATTTTGAATTTTGAAAATTTTCCTGTAGTCTGGTTGTTGGTGATTATGACCATTATATCAATTGTTGCTATACGGAGCTACTCAGTACTCTGGAAGAAATAAAAATACACTTCAGTTCTTGCTTCTTATTTCAGAGATGTGTAAATCAGATGAAGGCGGATGTGATGAAATAGCAGTTTTATTAGAAAATAGGACCCTCAATAAATAACTTGCTAACAAAGATTACACTCTGGATACTTCTAAATATTTGTGAGAGTGTTTTGTTTTTTTTCTAGAATAGGTGATGTCCATGGTAGAAACAAACAAAAATGAAAACAGTTTATCTGTGGAGCTGTATCTCAAGATGATTGACTACTGCTCAAGATCTTAATTTCTAACAGAGGATTTCTGAGGCATAATAAACATTTTCCAAATATAGTCTTCAAACAAAGGACCTAAATCTTGGTTAAAAACCTCAATCACAGACAGGGCAACTCACTGTATATGCCTGTGTACTTCTAATGTTCATGTTAGGGAATCAATGAGCTTGAACATGTCTTAGGGGGCTAATGTGAAATGGAAACACACTGAATGGGCATCCTGTTCAAATCCTAAAGGCCTAAGGATTTTTAAGCCTTGTTATATGACTTGACTAGAGAAAGAGAATCAAATTTACGTCATATATATGAAACATATGAATATATCAAAAGTTTTAGTTGTCTCTAAGTTCCTGTTATATTACATTAAAGAAGTAGCAGGCAGGAAAAATGCTCTTTTAAAGTCAGTATTTCCCATGTTTTAAATATGTATATTTTTGTTTTCCATAGAAAAGCTAATGTGACTTAGGTATTGATTAGGTGTGCAGGTAATAGGAGGGGAAATTTTCTTAAAAGTCTTATCTTTTTTAGGAATTTATCAGGTTTTGATGTCCTTTAACTCTATTCTTTTTTCCTTATATCCTTCCTGCACCTGATTTCCCATATTTCTTGAACCTGTCATATCACTGTGATGTTTCCCCCATTTCAGTCTTTGGTTTTGTGGAGTTTACTGAAGGCTACAGAATAGCTGAGGTCTTCATTTTGAGTATGATGTAAGGTCACGTGAGATATGGGAGAATACAGTATTTTGTTCTGTTTATCTCTGTATTCTCAGTGCACAACCTTTGCATGTGGGATTGTTCTCAAACATAATTTTTTGTATGCCAGCCTGCAGAGCTAGAACTGACTTTCTGGGCAGATTATAAGAACATAAAATAGCTTTCTGCAGACTGGGAGTGAACATACAGGTTTTCAGCTCAGCCCTAGCTACCAGAGTTTGTATTTCCCTACGTCTGCCAACCTTTTGTAAAAACTCACAACAACGCTCCAGCCTCATGCAGAGTGAGGGGCTGAGCAGAGTGACTCCCATACATTGGACCTCAGCAGATGTCTTATGAGACAAATCTTTCTGAGGTTTTCTCAGAGATTCACAGGAAATTAGACCAATCCCTCCAAATCAGAAATTGGTAGACTATATTTGGAAATGAAAATCACTTGCTTCGTGAGAAAGGAAATCTTGTAGCTGATTCTGCTGTGGAAGGAGCAGCAGAATTATGCTAGCTGCATAGAGAAATTTAAGAGAAATTGTCTCTTAAATGATACTTGCAGATCTTCACAGGTGGGCTGAACAGCAGTGCTAAAACTGTCTGCAGTAGTTCACATAAAGACTGAACACACCTAATGGAAAATAACACAACTTTGTCACCTGTGTTTCTCAAAGCACCTGAAAAACAGAAGTACATCTCTGCTACAGACTAATTTGATAACATCTAGGCTGGATGCCTGACTGAAAGGGCATATGAGCATAAGAGCCATTTTCTCAGGATATTTCTTCTGCCTGTCTCCAACATCTGCATACCTCAGTATAACGCTGCTTCTCTGCCATCCAAAACTAGGGCAAACAGTCCAGCATCACACCCAGCTCCTCCTGAGTAGATTGTAGTGACTTCTTAATTTACTCTGTGTGACACTGGTGCTGAGCTGAAGTTCAGGTCATCCTGTTTTTTATTGGGATGGATATTTCCAAGTCAACAGATCAACAAGTTTCCCAGCAGGATTTTCAGCAGTGGAAGTATACAGTAGGTGAGGCTGGAGAGAAGAAAAGTTCAACAGATGTTTTTTATTCCATGGGACTTACTATTTAATGTTGATTGCAAGAATTTTCTTATTATATGTTTAGTTATGTATGAAAATCTTCATGAGGCTTGTATTTACTTAGAACATCAAATTCTAATTTCAGTGGAACTTTCAGTATCTGAAAAGGAATTTCACAAGGCCCAAGTATCTTTTTCAGGTTTCAGAAACTGTAACTTTGACAAAGAAGATACTCATTAAAGTTCATGATGGCTGCTTTGAGATTTTTCTGTGAGTTGTTAAGTAAAGCAGAAAAATAATCATTGTCCTGTATCATGATCCATATCAATGTGAGGCAAAAGGAAGATTTTCAGGGCATGCAGCAGTCCTATGTGGCTTCTAAAGCATTCCTTAATGTTATTGCCTCTGTTTTGGAGTGGATCACCACCCCTTGAGAAAAAGCCTGCTGGGGTGGCTCAGTGGTGAGATGAGATATTTTTCTTTAAAGGACAGAATTTCCCTTCAACTGACCACTTCAGAGCAAACAACAGGGGAAAAAAAGTCCATGAGAACTAGGTAAGTTTCCATTCCCAAACTGACTGCGGAGGAGGAAGATCTTCCTGTTGTTTTTATACTGTTTTAATCAATTTTATGTTTTCTCCCACTACAGAAGTGAATGTGCTGCTTCAGTGATTTGAACATTTACAATGCCAAAGCAGCCCAGGCTACTTGAATCTTTCTGTGGCCCCTCCCTTTTCTTCCTTTATTTGTTTGGGGCCAGGTAAACAGAGTCATTACTGAGATTACTGCAGTCTGGATCATTACCCAGAATACCATCTGTCAGTATTTTGTCAAACTTCCTTGTATTAAAAAGCCATTAGATGACATCTGACATTCATTTATGATCAGCAGATAAACCAGTTCACTTGACAGATAAATAGGGACCCAAATAAGTTTCTTTAATTGTGACTACTACCATATGTTGTCACTCATGATATATTTAATCACTGATCATGCTCTAATTAAATGTATCTTAAACCTCTTTGTCTTGTCAATAGAGGAAAAAACAGATGGCAATACTTTGATGTGGCTTCAAGTTTACTGCAGGCTTACATTTTCACTGACATGCAATAAAGAACTAAATTTGAAAAAAAATATAGAGGTGTTATTAAGATGTAGCATGTATTCAGGTTTACTTCTGATATTTGGAGAACAAGAGCTGTTGTGTGAAGTTGGTATACTTGAATTTTGAAGGAAAATTCAGAAGTAATAGTAATATTTCTATCAAGGAAAAGGACTTTCACATACTGTCTTAAATGTTTTTGTGTACATTTGCTGAAATACCTATTTTAAATATAGTGGGCAACAAAATAAAGGATATTCTTGTTAAGTGTGTAAGTGTGCTTAGACTATGTAATTTTTACTTTTTAAAGAATGAAAGAAAACAGTGCTAACTTTCAAACTTAAAGGCTTTTATATAACCCTCCTTTTATTTTTCACATCTTAGTATGTTAAAAGAAATGCAGTGGAGTGTCCTGAGGATAACTCTATTGGAAATTTAGTCACTACAGACTACTTTGTTTTCTGACTCCTGGCAGCCTGAACCAGAGATGCACATGAGTCACAACAGAATGCAACAATCAGTGTCTCCTCTAGGGTAGTAGGTAAGTTTACAAATAAGTCCATCATGTGATTAAAATTTCTTAAGCATTTATGGGCTTAAAAAATTAAATGTGGTTAACCTAAATACAACTGATATAATAGGACTTCACAGTTCATACTTTCCATTATTCATCACTCTCTTTTGAAACATAATCTTCTGTGAATTCTTTTTCCCCAGAAACATTCCAACCATGAACTCTTTCCAAAGCTGTTGGGTTTTTTGTTATTACTTCTTTTTTTTTTCTTTTTTGTGGAAAATGTCAAGATATTTTACATTGCTATTTCAGAATGTGGTAAAGAATAGAGATACATCCACAAAGAGACACAGACTGGTATTTTTTCCATGGTAAAATAAGACATGATCACACTCAAACAGGAGATGGCCATACCAAGCATGAGTGACATTTTTCACCTGATATATTGTACATAAAACCTCTGAAGTAGAAGTATTCAGGAAAAATAACACTCATGTAAGCTGCTGGATACCTTC